TATTTTGTTGCACCAATAAGAAAGTAACTAAGACACAATCATATCATGAATTACAGTAAATATAAATAGGTGAAACAGTCTAATCAAAAGACAAAGTTTGTGAAACTGGATAAAGCCACAAAATCAAAGGATATTTCAGATATAGAGACATTACTAGATCAAAAGAAAACAAAGATAAAAATTATACAATATGAAGAATAACTATATGAGAATTACAGTGGCTAAACAAATACTAATATCAGACAAAGTAGACTTTAAAAATAAATGGCACTGCCGGGTGCAGTGGCTCATGCCTATAATCCCAGCACTTGGGAGGCTGAGGCAGGAGGATCACTATGAGTTCGAGACCAGCCTGGACTACATAGTGAGTTCCAGGACAGTCTCAACTACATAGTGAGACCCTGTCTCAAACCCCTCCCCACCAAAAATGGTGCTGAATAAAAAGGACATTTTATCTTATTTATTTTGAAAATAATCTTATTATTGCATATTAGTTATACAGAATAATGGATTGCATCTTGGCATATTAATACATGTATATAAAATAATTTGATCTTCTTATTTACCCCTTTTCTGTTTCCTCTCTCCTTCTGCTTATTCCTTTCCTCTTCTCCACTAACCTCAAGGAGGACATTTTATAATGATGAAAGGGTGAATTTATCAGGTAGATATAGTAATTATAAATATAAACACATCTAATAGAAAAAATCTTCCCAACTCATTCTATGAAGCTGGTATCTGCCATCAAACAAGATAAACACATCATAAGAAAACTACAGTCCAATATCTCTTATCAATATAGATGCAAACACGTCAACAAAATAGTATCAATTCAAATCCACCAACAGAAAATAATTATATACCATAACCAAAAAAGATTCATCCCAGGAATGAAAGGTTGATTTAACACCCAGAAATCAATGTACACCACGTTCTAGCAGTTAATAATGTATTGTGTAGAATAAATGACCAAAAACTACATGATCATTTCAATAAATGCAGGAAAAGTCAATATTTAACAAAATCCAACATCCATTCAAGACTCAAAAAACCCTACACCATCTAGCAAAAGAGACCTTTTCCAAGCTGAGAAAGAACATTTACAAAAATCACACAACTAGTATCACATTTAATGATAAAAATTTGAATGTTTTCCTCTAAGGTCAGGAACCAAAGGAAGATATTCATTTCTGTCATTTCTGTTCAACATTGTATGGGAGATTCTAGCTGGAGGAAGTAGGCAAGAATAAGAAACAAAACAGATACATTAGGGAGGAAGGGACACTACCTCTGTTGTAATCCTATATGAGAAAAATCGTAAGACATACAACACACCACCACACATACTATAAGACCAATAATTCTACTTAGCAATGCCACCAGATACAAAATCCATATACAAAAGTCATTTGTACCTCGAAATACTTTGAAAGAGAAATCAAAACATGATTATAAAACTATTTTATAATATCAGCAAAAAGAATAAAATACTTAGGAATAAATTGATCAAAAGAAGGGGAAAGCTTTCACTCTGAAAATTAAAAAACATTGGTGAGAAAAACTAATGAAGATCTAAATAAATGGAGAGGTACTTCAAGTTCATTATTGAAAATGTCAATATTTTTAAAATGATAGTTCTCCCAGTTGATGTATGTGTTCAATAAAATCTCAATCAAAATGAATACATGGCAATTTATAGAAATTGACAAACTGAACTTAATATTTACATTGAATTGTAAAGAACTCAGAATAGACAAAAAAGCTTGAAAAAATTCAAAGACTTATACTTTCAATTTAAAAATTTACTGCAGTGCTGCAGCATTCAAGACAATATGAGACTATCATAAGGATAGGAATATAGACTAATGGGACACAAATGAAGTTGAGACATAAACCTTAATATTTGTGGTCAACTGGTTTTCAAATGAGGTCCCAATGCAATTCAATAAGAAAATGATATTATTTCAATAAATGGTGATAGGAAATAAATAATCATGTGCAAAAAAAGATGAATTTAGATTTTTATCTTACAATATACAAAAGTAACTAAAATTTATCTAAAATACAAGTGAAAGAGATAACAGTGTAAAACTTTTAAAAGAAAACATAGGCGAAAACCTTCATGATCTTGGGATAAGCAAAAAGAAAAAAATGATAAATTGGACTTCATAAAAACTCAATATATTTGTCCTTCAATACAGATGATTGAGAAAACGAAAATACATGCCACACACTGGAAGAAAATATTTTCAACTTATTTATCTGAAAAAGGACTTGTTTCCAGAATGCTGTATAGAAGGAACATTTACATCTCAATTATTAGGAAGCAAATGGCCCAATTTAAAAATTGGCAAAACATGAGTAGATATTTCCCCCAAAGAACATGCACAAATGTCCAGCAAGTATATAAAAGGCATTCAATTAGTCAATAAGGAAATGCTAATCTAAACCATACTATTAACACTCACATGGCTGGCCATATATAAATTATAAAAAGGGAAAATAACAGGTGTTGAGGATGTGAAGCTTCTTTAGAAAACGGTTTTGCAAATAACTAAATATAATAGAGTTATAGTATAACTGAGGAATTAAATTCCTAGTTATCTATCCAAAAGAATTGAAAACATGTCCCTTCAAAAAAGGCATACACATTCATAGTAGTATTATAATCACAAAAAGGTGGAAACAATCCAAATATCTGTCAACTGATGATATATTAGAAAATCTTCTCTATCCATACACTTAAATATTAGTCATCCATGACAATGAATTAAGAACTGATTCCAGCTATAACATGGACCTAAGAACCTGACGAAATAAAAGTCACAATAGAGTAGTTTTTTTTTTTTTTTTTTTTTTTTGGTACTGGGGATTGAACTTAGGTCCTTGCCCTTGCGAGGCAGGCGTCAGTGCTATTGAGCTGAATCCCTGGCCCTGTATGATTGTATTTCTATGAAATATCTAGAATAGGAATCCATAGAGACAGAAAATAGATTAGGGGTTGCCTTGTGCGAGGCGTGTTAATGAAGATGGACAGCAAACAGGCAAGAGCGATAGCATTGAGGTGATGGAAATGTCTAAATAGGGATTGTAGTAATGGCTGCCCCACTTGACCGATTTACTAACAATCCTGTGGTGTACACCTAAGACAGGCCAATTTTATGCCATGCATGTGCTATCTTAATAAAAAAAATTTTCCAAACCAACAAAGACACACACACACACACACACACACACACACAAACAGAGAGAGAGGCATCTCAATGCCTTGATAGTTTTCACAGGTGATACAGAGCTCATTAGTCTGTTTTCTGATGTTATGGCAGTGCTGGTGGTGAGGGCTGAGGGCCAGGCAATTATTTGGTATTTTAAAGAAAAAATTAAAAATATTGCTGGCTTGAAATTTGGAGTAGTGGGGGTGAGAAGTGGATGATATTTTAAAATATTCAGGATGTGGAAGTGACAGGACTTTATACTAATTAGATGCAGGCAGTGGAGGAGAGTGGAGATGCCTCCTACTGAGAGTGCTTAGGGTCGAATTCCTACTGCTCACCCAAATGTGCTGTGTTCTGCTGTGCTCTCAATTGCAGTGAGAGGATGAGCGTCCTGGCACAGACTAGGCATTCACTGGTTGTCTTTGGAGTGAACAAACACCGTATGAGGAACAGAACAAAGATAGATGAATGTCATAAAACGTGCCCAAACAAAGCAGCCACCAGGTCTTGCCAAACAGCCAGTCCTAAACTCACCCTGAAGTCTGTTCAACAGATGTCCAGCATGATTTCCCTCAGACTACTTGAGAACTCATCAGGCCCTTCCCTCAGAAAAACACCCATGTTTATATCAGGAACTCCTTGGCTAGCACTTGCAGGTGTGGCCCAGGGTGGGTTTCACCAAGTCTCTTATCCTAAAAATCTACACAGGACAATGGCAGGTCCATGTACAGCCCATGTGAGCATGGGGGATATTTGGTGTTATAGGAACAGGATGATGACGTTGCCCAGCTGACGGGTCTATGTTTAGTTTGTCTCTAGGCAGGAACAGACTCTTGCTACCAAAGAGGTTTGTTAGTCCTGCCCCCACCCCACCTTATCTTTGGCAGGCAGAATACACAGCTGCCAGGAATGTCATGGACACTGAATGATCAGTTTGGATATTTCACTTCTGTTCTCTGCGTTGACAAGCAGAGATAACAAACTCTCAGAGAGAAAACTAAGGAAATAATATGTCCCACCCCACACTTTCAAGAAATAAAAAACTAGGAAGGGTACACTAAGGAAGCCTCCAGACTCTACCACTGCAGTGAACATTTCTTTCATCGTACAGGTTATGAGACAAAGTATAGCATTAAGTATTGTGACAAAGCCATATACACTTCTTGTGGTTGTGAAAAGTATTTTGCGTACCAAAAAGTTGCCATTATCATTATGATCACTTAATGAAGATGAATTGGAAGTTAGCATTACAACTTTGGCCCATATTGTTTAAATAGTGTGTCTTTATAGTTAACCAATGTAAAATCAACTGTATATAATTTTTAGTATAGTGTATCCTGACAGAGCAATAACCAGCTAAGAAACAACTGTAGAAGACCACTGAGAGTGAATTATGGACATGTTTCTAAATATGAGAGCTCAAGTTTTCCTTTCAATGATTAGTTATACAATTATTCAACTCTTGCATCGTTGAGACATTTGTTGGCTGTATACTGTACTTTGTTCGTTCAACACAGAATATTTTGGCAATCACTTAGTTAAAATCCTTAATTGTAAAGCATTTACAAGACCATTATTCAGAGTTGACATTCATTTTATGAGTTGAATGAATGTCGTTTGCAATAGTATTAAAAGCCTCTTCAGAGTTGTTTTCACAATAGAGGACTTCTTAACCTAAGTTCCCTTATGTCCTACTCTTTCACTTCCTAGGCAGCCTTGCTCTGGAGGGGCAGACAAAGGGTAAAAATCTGGGCAGAGAACGATATAAGAAAGAAAGAAATCAGTGCTGCAAAGCTCTTGTAAAAGGTGATTTCTCCTTTCACTCCATGACTGAGCAAAATGAGGCACAAAAAGGTACAGACTAGCTGAAATACAGACAGCAAGTGAGTGACAGATACAGGACTGGAAGATCCAAGAGAGTCTGAAACAATGTACACTGCGCGTCAGTCCCAACGCCAGCTTGTTCCAGCTCTTCCTGAGTGCTAGGCCCATCTAGCCTCACGCAGATCTCTAGACGGACCCCGTAGCGCAACTGGCACAAACCAGGACCACAGCCCTGCGGCAAGGCAGGAGTGTCCTCCTCCAGCAGAGTTAAGGTGAGTACTACCAATATGGGTCTGAGCAGCCTGGGTAGAAGCCGCCGCCTCCACTGCGCCAGGCCAGAAAATGAAAGCTTCAGCAAACCCATCCATCCCATGCACGCAAAACACCCTTACCCAGACCCGTGGGGAAGAACCTACCTGTGCCACGGTCGCGACTCCCAATTCTGCAAAGAGGGCAGAAATACAAGCTAAGAAGGCCTTGATATATAACCCTGCGCGGCCTTTGCTTTTTCCACGGAAACTGTCGGCCTTGCGCTCCCCTCCCCCAGCCTGTTTGGGCCCTGCTGCAAGCCTGGAGGCCCCGCCCCTCTCCTTCCGGGCGTGTCGGGTGGGTGCTTTGCTTGCCTGATACCTGTGCTGCTGCCTGAGCATCTTAAAGATTCAGACCCTAAAGGATTGGGTCTGCGAGATGCTCTACTTAGTAGCCCTCATTGAACAGATTGTCTGTAATGCTACACTGCATGTAAAGCCTCGGTAGCCTGTCTGCCTTATCAGTGCTCCTCTGGAGTCTCCCCATTATGCTTTATTTATGGTGACTTATTACCGTTTGCTAGAACTAAAATTGCTTTAAGACTTTCCCACCACTTTCTACAAGTTAATTCTAACACATACCGCTAGCTTCTGGGTTCTCAAGTTGAGCATCTCGAATCCAAGATCCAGGTACAGGGCTAATATTAGAAGGAAATAAACCGTTAGGAATGAGCACCTTATGCATGTAAAAAGTGTGCTGAAATAGCATGTGCTATGGAAATTCAAAGCAAAGAAAAAATACTGAGAGCAAAAATAAAGAAGAAAATAGAATGTACAGATAATGAAAGTAAGAAATTGTACAGTATTATAGTTGTTAGAGATGAAAAGTATTACTCTCACAAAGATAGTAAAGGAAATGGTTTGTAGAAGTCATAATTAACAGAAGAAAAAAACTCTGAAGAACCTTTACTACTACATTACATGTTTAACATAGGATTCTTTCTGCCAAGCATGTTCTACCCATACTTTTTTTTTCTTTTTATTGAGTTTATTGGTATAATCCAGGTATACAATGCAGTTACATTCATCATTGGGATTCTGTACCTTTACATGACAGGTCTTGATTCTCATTTTTTTCCCCTTGTCCCTGCGCTCCCTTCACCCCCTCTTCCCCTCCCCCCTCTT